GTTATTGATGCGCACTGTGTTTCAACAGGTATATCAAGGACAAATCAAACTGCAATTTTTGTAATGTCTATTCAGTTGTGAGGGAAGGTATGTAATAAACAGGTAAATCATTTACATAATACAAATAGGCTCCATAGGATATAGTATACAGTACATGCATTGCATTTATTTCCTATTATGCAAATTAAGCTCATGTTTGACTTTAATGTGATAATTGAGTTGAGATATACAGACATATTTCTTATCACAATCAGGTGTCGGACACATGAAAGGCTTGTCTCTCATAGCCATAGTCTGCCTAAAAGTTTGACTTTTCTTCGAGTGATAATTACTGATGTGTTGTCTCAACTCTCCCGATGTGATGAAACTTTTGTCACAATCACTGAAATGGCATTTATGTCTCTTAACCCCCGAATGCCGTCTCATATGCTCTCTCCACGTGTTGACAGATTTAAAACTTTTACCGCAATCACTATAACGGCATACGTGTGGCCTATCGTCCGAATGACTCGTTTTGTGTAAAATAAGATGATCTTTGCGATCAAACCCTTTCTCACAGCCATTATAATCACATTTAAACACCTTTTCCTTCAGATGAACTTCACGCTTATGTTTTGTTAAGCAGTGTTTCGTTGTAAAGCTTTTCCCACAACCACTCCAATCGCATACAAACATCTTACGTAAATGGACAGCATTTTTATGACCTATTAGGCTCTCATTAGTGTAATAAGCTTTATGGCAACCATCATAAGTGCATTTAAATTGCTTGACACTTGAATGATGATATTCATGTTTCTTTAAATCATTTTTAGTACACGTTTTGTACTGACATTTAGGCCAAAAACACCTAAAATCGCCGATTTGATGATCCATACGTTTGTGTCGTTTCAGGTGCGATAATTTAAGGTAAACCCTATTGCAGTACATGTAATCGCATTTAAAATAGCGTGGTTTGGAATGCTTTAACAGGTGGCTATTAAAATGAGCTTTGTAGTATGACTTATACTGACAGTTAGGCCAAACACACGTGAATTGCTCGCTCGGATGATCCATACGTTTGTGTTTATATAGATCTGAATACGTTGCATACGATTTGTCGCACTCTTTGTAACGACTTTGTAGTATGACTTATACTGACAGTTAGGCCAAACACACGTGAATTGCTCGCTCGGATGATCCATACGTTTGTGTTTATATAGATCTGAATACGTTGCATACGATTTGTCGCACTCTTTGTAACGGCATTTAAATTGACGTATTTTTCTATGTTTTAAGTGATGTTCAGTTAGTAGACGTTTGTATCGACACTTAAACTGACATTTAGGCCTAACGCACGAGTAGTATGTAGTGTTAACAGTATTTGCGGGCATTTTATGATAGGAAAACATTTTATCACTTATTTTACATGAATTCAAATCAATTGAATTGCAGTTCATTGACAAATTGACTGCATTTTCACAATCAATCCCTTCACACAAAACACTATTATTTTGTGACAAAAAACACTGCATTTTATGTAAACTTTGACATAAATCCCGAAAATAATTTAAAATATTTAATTGAAACTTCATTTTTATCGATATTTCACAAACTTTATGATACCTTTTAAAAATTAAAAATAAATTGACATTTGAATGCACTTTACTGTAAAACTATATTGAAATGTCTGTTGTTTAATAAAATTAATGGTTTTTATGCTGGACTCACAGTATTTATGTTTATTTATCAGGATTTTAAGGTCAACTGAGATCACGGGTTGGCCTATATTTAAATCCTAGCACAAATCTAATCGCTATATGTAAACTATTAAAGGATTACTGATAAAACTATTTTAATGTCAAGTTTTGCACAGATCAATTTAATTTAACTTATTTATTCAATTTATTTTATTTACAAAAAATATATTAATATTAAAATAATATAATTTTCACCTTGAAACAAATCCCGAAAATAATTGAAAATATTTAATTGAAACTTCATTCAAATGACACGAGTCCTCACAAAAAACGTTTTGTATTTTGTAATTTAAATTTTAAAACTAAATTCACACAAAACCTGTAAACAAAAACTTTTGGCGCAATCTTAGCCCTAATTCACTTAAACACCGTTTATTAGTAAATAAATTCATGTTTAGATATAATACTCTTAAAATTATTTAATTTTGCTTAAACATATAAAATATAAAATGAAAAAAATTCTTTATGAATTTATTCAATAGAATTATAAATTATAAGGTGGATATATTGATTTATCTAGAACAATTTAATAATTAATTAACCTGTATTCTATTTTAGTAAAATAGATATACTTTATTATATAACGGTATTGTATAGACAATATACACACATTAACAGCATAAAAGGGCCCAAAAATATTCAATTAGATAAATGAGTATAATTATAAATAACGTTACATTGCAATGATGAACAAAACAACCCTTTCAAATAAATACTGTATTAAAACTTTTGTGCTATAAAAATAAATTGGAAGTAAATTATTATCATTATAAATAATATATTGAGTATAATATTGTTAATTGCACTTTTTAATGTGAAAAATAAGATATTCTATTTTAATTGAAAATTACTGTGAATATAATGAATATAAACTAAATCATTTACGAGTTAGTTCAATTTAGTTTAATAATCTGAAATAATTTGGTTAAAGTTATATTATTTAAAAATATTTCTAATGAATTACATATTACTAACACTAACTACAAAACTACTTTGTCGTAGTTTAAGGTTCATAAAGTTCAGCTTAGATATATATTAACTAGCTATTATATATATATATATTATATTAATATAGCTTATTTTAGATATATATTAACATAATTCTTATATTTAGTGAATAAATCAAAGTCTGAATGCATATCAATGTCTATTCAATCCTTAGTACCGGTAAAGTACAGTAGTTTTAAATTCTTTATATGAACTTTGTATGCAGAAATAAACATGTGTTATAATTATATAACAAGTAGATTATATATTATATAACAGTAAATCATTAATAGTACATCAAATCAGACATTCGTAATACTGTATTACATGATATCAGAAGTATGTTTGAAATATATTGTTTAAACTTTGGTCAATATTAATAAATCTATACTGTTGAACTAAACACAATTCATGTTAATAACTGTTAAATCTAATGCACCTGAGAATGATAGTGTGTGACTGAAGAAGTGAAATGTATTTTTAGTTATGTAATAAAACTTTACTACTTATTTATTACTTATTATACATTACATTAGTACAGAATGTGAAGTTTGAGCTATAAATGGACTTTGCATTCATCGATATGTCTATCAATTGTAGTTAAGAATTGAATAAAGGACTAAATGTTTTGATAGCGAGTAATGTCTGACTGTATATAAGCGCCGTATTCTTAACACAAGAATCATTCAAGAATTTAACAACAAATTCATAAAATATTAAAATTGTTTTATTGAAACATTGATTTGTTTTAGAAAACTATTAAAAATGAAATTTTTAGTCTTCGGAGTCCTATTCCTGACCGCTCTCTACGGTATGTCTTATTGATTATGACTTTTATAAAAGTTTTAAAATATTTATTAATATATTGATAGCTTCGGATGCATTCACTATAAGCCGGGCTAATGACGACCCCGTGAAGGATGCGTTACTGAAGGAGGTGTCGGACATCTTGGATGAGACGCGTAAAGCGATCGACACTTTGGCGAAGAGTGGAAAGGATGAGCTCAGGAAAGGACTCACGAAAGCCATTGAAGTCACCAAACAGTTGGACAGTCATGAGACCATTGATGAGCGCATCCTTTCCGGAGGCCTTCAGAGTGTCGATGGCTTTGCGCGCGTCGTCTAAGATCTGTGCGACTTGTTTGAGGACTACATCCTTGATATCATCGTTGGCCTCCTTTGGCGGAACATTCTTCAGCTCCGACTCGAGCCACGCCTCCGCCTCAACCACCAGAGTGTCGATCCCTTTGTACAACACTTTTCCCAAATCAGTGGTTGGGTTCAGTTTCTTGAGCTGAGTGTCCATACTCTTAGTGATTTCAATGGCTTTCGTGAGTCCTTTCCTCAGCTCATCCTTTCCACTCTTCTTCAAAGTGTCGATCGCTTTAATCGCCTCATCCAAGAGCTCCGACACCTCCTTCAGCAATGCATCCTTTATGGGGTCGTCATTAGCCCGGCTTATAGTGAATGCATCCGAAGCTATAAATATATGAATAAATATTAAAAACTTTTATAAAAGCCATAATCAATGAGACATACCGTAGAGTGCGGTCAGGAATAGGACTCCGAAGACTAAAAATTTCATTTTTAATAGTTTTCTAAAACAAATCAATGTTTCAATAAAACAATTTTAATATTTTATGAATTTATTGTCAAATTCTTGAGTGATTCTTGTGTTGAGAATACGAGCGCTTATATACAGTCAGACATTACTCGCTATCAAAGCATTTAATCCTTTATTCAATTCTTGACTACAATTGATAGACATATCGATGAATGCAAAGTCCATTTAGAGCTCAAACTTCACATTCTGTACTAATTTATAATAGGTAATAATTAAAGTCTTATTACATAACTAAAACTACATTTGACTTCAGTCACACACTATCATTCTCAGGTGCATTAGATTTAACAGTTATTAACATGAATTGTGTTTAGTTCAACAGTATAGATTTATTCATATTGATCAAAGTTTAAACAATGTATTTCAAACATACTTCTGATATCATGTAATACAGTACTACTAATGTCTGATTTTGATGTACTTTTAATGATTTACTGTTATATAATATATAATCTACTTGTTATATAATTATAGCACATGTTTATTTCTGCATACAAAGTTCATACAAAGAATTTAAAACTACTGTACATTACCTGTCCTAAGGATTGAATAGACATTGATATGCATTCAGACTCTGATTTAATCACTAAATATAACAATTATGTTAATATCTAAAATAAGCTGAACTTTATGAACCTTAAACTAAGACAAAGTAGTTTTGTAGTTAGTCTTAGTATTACAATATGCAATTCATTTGAAATATTTTTAATTAATATAATTTTGCTTATTATAAAATTTTCTTATAACAAAGTCATGTTAGTAAGCTAATATTTATTTTTTTTAATTGTTTAACATTTAAATAATTCTAAACAAATTTATGTACACTAATATTTTATCAAATGTAAAATTTTAAACAAATTATTTCGGAGATTAGTAAACTAAATTGAACTAACTCGTAAATGATTTAGTTTATATTCATTATATTTACGGTAATTTTCAAATAAATAGAATATCTTATTTAGCACATTAAAAAGTGCAAGTAACAATATTATACTCAATATATTATTTATAATAATAATAATTTACTTCCAATTTATTTTTATAGCACAAAGTTTTAATACAGTATTTATTTGAAAGGGTTGTTTTGTTCATCATTGCAATGTAACGTTATTTATAATTATACTCATTTATCTAATTGAATATTTTTGGGCCCTTTTATGCTGTTAATGTGTATATATTGTCTATACAATACAGTTATATAATAAAGTATATCTATTTTACTAGAATAGACTAAAATAGAATACAAGTTAATTAATTATTAAATTGTTCTAGATAAATCTATATATCCAGCTTATAATTTATAATTCTATTAAATAAATTCGTAAAGATTTTTTTCATTTTATATTTTATATGTTTAAGTAAAATTAAATAATTTTAAAAGTATTATACCTAGCATGAATTTATGTACTAATAAACGGTGTTTAAGTAAATTAGGGCTAAGATTGCGCCAAAAGTTTTTGTTTACAGGTTTTGTGTGAATTTACTGTTAGTTTTAAAATTAAAATTACAAAATACAACACGTTTTTTGTGAGGACTCGTGTCTATTGAATGTTTCAATTAAATATTTTCAATTATTTTCAGAATTTGTTTCAAAGTGAAAATTATCTTATTTTAATATTAAGATATTTTTTGTAAATAAGTTAAATTAAATTGATCTGTGCAAAACTTGACATAAAAATAGTTTAATAAGTAATCCTTTAATAGTTTGCATTTTGCCATTAGATTTGTGGTAGGATTTAAATATAGGCCAACCCGTGATCTCAGTTCACCTCAAAATTCCTGATAAATAAACATAAATACTGTAAGTCTAGCATAAAAACCATTAATTTTATTAAACAACAAACATTTCAAATTGAAATTTTCAATATAGTTTTACAGTAAAGTGCATTCAAATGTAAATTTATTTTTCATTTTTAAAAGGTATCATAAAATTTGTGAAATATTGATAAAAATGAAGTTTCAATTAAATATTTTCAATTATTTTCGGGATTTATGTCAAAGTTTATACAAAGTTCAGTGTTTTTTGTCACAAAATAATAGTGTTTTGTGTGAAGGGATTGATTGTGAAAATGCAGTGAATTTGTCAATGAATTGCAATTCAATTGATTTGAATTCATGTAAAATAAGTGATAAAATGTTTTCCTATCATAAAATGACCGCAAATACTGTCAACACTACATACTACTCGTGCGTTAGGCCTAAATGTCAGTTTAAGTGTCGATCCAAATGTCTACTAACTGAACATCACTTAAAACATAGAAAAATACGTCAATTTAAATGTCGTTACAAAGAGTGCGACAAATCGTATGCAACGTATTCAGATCTATATAAACACAAACGTATGGATCATCCGAGCGAGCAATTCACGTGTGTTTGGCCTAACTGTCAGTATAAGTCATACTACAAAG